ATAAAATAAAATAAACAACAAAACAAAAACCGTTGGTGTGGATAAGATGAGTCTTAGAAGATGGAACATGCAGGCAAAGTCTGCTGAGTGTAGAGCTGTGCCGGTAGAGAGCACTAATGTTGGAGGAAAGGTGTGATGAGCAGGCACGTGAGTGCTGCAGAAGAATTACTGAACAACAGAAACGTTGTTGGGCAGTGAGGTGATGAGACGGCTGGTCCAAAACTAACAGTTGTGCAAGCTGAAAATCCAAGATATGACGAATAAACTTCAGTTCAGCATAGCACAATGCCTCAGCGTACCTAGCACACTGGCATGCACGAGCTGATAAGCCCCAGGTGTGCACGGTGACTGGAGTGGAGCTCGGACAGTGGGAGATGACAGTGCAGCGTCTACAATTCACAAAATTTAACAAACCGAAAGAGACAAGGACACAAACCAAACAAAGATGAGAACACAAAACAAAACAAAAAGAGGAAAAATTTAATAAAATGATTTGCTTTTTTAGATGGTGAATATAACTCTAGTGTTTAAATATAAAGAAGCATATATTCAATTCAATTCAATTTTATTTATACAACCCCAAATCATGACTACACTCACCTTAAGGCACTTTAGATTGTACGGTAGATTCTACAATAACACATACAGAGAAAAAACCCAACAATCATATGACCCCCTATGAGCAAGTGCTTTGGCGACAGTGGGAAGGAAAAACACCCTTTTAACAGGAAGAAACATCCGGCTGAACCAGGCTCAGCGAGGGGCGGGGCTATCTGCTATCTGGGGTGAGAGAAGGAAATCAGGATAAAGACATGCTGTGGAAGAGAGACAGAGATGAATAACAAGTATGATTCAGTGCAGAGAGGTCTATTAACACATAGTGAGTGAGAACGGTGACTGGAAGCTGGTTCCCCTGAAGGCTCTCCCTCCCATTCTACTTTTTAATACTCTAGGAACAACAAGTAAGCCTGCAGTGTGAGAGCAAAGTGCTCTAATGGGGTCATATGGTACTATAAGATCATTAAGATAAGATGGGGCCTGATTATTTAAGACCTTATATGTGAGGAAAAGGACTTTGAATTCCATTCTGGATTTAACAGGAAGCCAATAAAGGGAGGCCAATATGGGAGAAATATGCTCTCTCTTTCTAGTCCCTTCAGTACTCTTGCTGCAGCATTTTGGATTAACTGAAGGCATATAGAAGGATAACCTTACCAAGCACAGTGACTGCAAATAGTTTCTCTGAAAACAAAATCTGTGCTAGCAGCATCTGTAAGACTATAACAACAAGCTGGCAGCTGGTAAATAATTTTTGTACGGTTCACTTATCAACATGTTATAGCTTACATCTATTCCCACATAATATAATGATGCAGGAAAAACTGTTACAGCTGTGTCCAAAAATCCACTCATACAAACAGGAATTAGGGAGTAGTGCATATATATAAATATTTTAAACTGTTAAAGCATTTTTTTTTATCAGTACTTATACGATTTTTTTCTTTATATGTATTTTACCTAAGTCAGGGTAAAATGGAGAAACATTTTGCTAACCTTCAGCTTTTTGAAACAATGTTTTATGAACTAAGTAGTACATGTAAAGTCTAAATAAAAAGATCAAAACAAAATACCTTAAGTCTGCATTCTTTCTAATAGCCAGCAGGTGGTGCCTCCTCTGGTTTTGTCAAAGCTTCAGGTTGAATATGAGACCACAGAGAAATGGCCCACAGCGTGTCCTTTCTCTGTGACCTCAGAAAACACTTTCCTGATTAGTTTATGGGCTCAGTCATTCGTTTCAGGTCATCCTGAATGCAACATGAAATGCTTTGTAACTGCAGACAGGAGTCTCATTGATCTAAAACACTGAACGAACCCAAAATGGTAGACTTATCCATAAACAGAGTTGGTACTATATTCCCAAAATACAAGCAATACTGTTGCTCAAACTTGTCTATTGTACATTATAATGGTGCTTTGTACCATAGAACAAAATGTCAGTATAATCTCAGTACTAACAATAGTAAACAGCACATCATCTATACAAACTCTAAAGAAACACAGAAGAGATTTTTTTCCCACCGCAGTAGCAAGATGTGCATGATGAAATCTCCTTTATGGTTTAGTTTATTATCCTCTTATATAATTATCTCATTTTGAACCCAAACCTTGGCCCTAAAGCCAAATTCTAACCCTCTGAAGCTCTCAGAAAAAAAGCACAAAGTCATAGTCAAAACTTATCCACTTTCTCAAAATCCTTCCTCCCAAGATCTAAAACCAAAACCAGTCTTTACAAAGGTAGTCGTACATGTACACACACATTGACACGCACAGTAGCATAGCAGTCGTACTGCATGTGCCTCAGTGGACACTGGTATTCAAGAGTAATTTCTCTCTTTGGGAACTCACAGAATAAGTAGTTGTAACAGGTTAGATACACTGTGCGTCCCGACGCTACAGGCAGACACATTTGTTTCCATGGCTAATTATTTGTGTGTATAGGGCTTGTTTCTTGTGCACCTCGACTCTCCCCGTTGTGTTCATCGCGTCTTTTCGTAAGCCTGCAGTTGTTCCTCTCACTCCAAACTCCTCTCCCTCTGGTTCAGGAGTGCTACTACATGAATAGGGGAGAGCGATTGGACTACATGTAACAGCCTCAGCTAGCACTGAACCCCGAACCACCTCCCCCTTCTCTTCTCCCTCTGCCGAGCCACAAACCACACCCCTAACTCCAACAGTAGCTTTATTTGTTTATTTATTTGTAAGAGACCCTGCACAAAAGCCAGCCAGAGAATTGACACATTGTACCAGATTTGATTAGCGTTTACACTTATTACTATAGCAAGTGTAACCCATAATCAGACTTGCAGCTCAAAGGGCAACAGTGTGTGAAAGGGAAACATAGATTTTCTTTATGGAAGAGAATCTAAACATGTTGTACTGCAGTTTTGTGAGAGAGGCTTTGCTTTTTTGAAAACAAGACACAAAGTCTCAGCGGGCAGCGCTGACTTATTGTCTGCCTTTCAAAAACTGCCTGTAACCATAGCAACTGTAAATGTTAGGTTTTACCATTTCTAGCCACGAGACAGTTGTAGTAGGATTAACTGACAGCGTGTGTGCACAGGACATTTTCTAGCCTAAGGGCATTATTTATATAATAATTTTTGTGAAGTTGTCCATTTTTCCTCTGAGTACTATGACAAGCAGCTATGATGCAGCTAAAGGCATTTTTCCTGTCCAAGCAATCTTTGAGATGTCAGTCACAAACAAGTGAACCTTTTACAATTCTTTCGATTTGCCAGTCTACAGCACAGACCTCTAAACCATAAAGCAAGAAGAGAAAAATCCCAAGATGACGCATTTTAATATGTTGAGCTAATGAAAGTGTATTTTAGGTGACTATTGCTTAGGCAGTAGAATAGATTTATCGGTAATTGGAGGGGTGGTGTACTTTTTTTTTATCAATGGGTCCTTTAGTCTGCATGCCAAACGTACCTTGAAATTGCTCATCATTTATCATCTGCGTATGTGTTTGGGGGGTATATTGTAGCATTATATGAAGAGCTTTGTGAATGAGTAGAGCACTTTTAGTGGTCAATAAGATGAGAAATGTGCCATACAAAATCCAGTCAATTCCTCCTCTATACAGTGATTTCAAAGCGCCTTAAGGTGCTTCTGTGAAGATGAAAAACCAAAGACGAGGAAAGCGAGAAAATTGTTCCACCTTTAAGTGGAACAAGGACAAGACTTTAATTCAAAAAGCTTTCATGCAATCAGGCATCATTATGACAAAACTAAACGCGTGAAAAAATGAATCAGGCAAGCTTTTATTTTTGATTTGGGAAAGGCAAATGAAAAATAGATTAATATCACCTGCTTTATTTATGAAACTATGCAGCTAATTGATGTAAATATTGATTCCAGCTTGCACCAGATGATGCCTGGAAGTGCCCCCACTGTAAGCAGCTTCAACAGGGTATGGTGAAGATGAGCCTGTGGACTCTGCCAGACATACTGATCCTCCATCTCAAGCGCTTCCGTCAGGTAGGCCAGCTTCAAAGTGGTCTCAAGTGAAGACAAGCATCTTTCATCTTGATCATTACATTACTACTACAGTCATCAAAATCATTTATTTAAAAGATGTCTATGGTAGTAACAAACACCTGAGGAACTATTATCTGACTCTACACAGACAATTTGACAATTTATAGAGGAGCCAGATACAGTGTTCAAGAAATATGAATACACACCTTTGAAATGACTAAAATTAACGTGATTTCAAATAGCATCAACTTACAATAATAACTTTAAGATTTTTTTGTAAAATGGATTGAAATAATTATTATTATTATAATTATTAAGTTTACTGTGTTTAGTCTAATTTAAAACACATTATACAGACTACATTTAACACAACAGTGCAAAAAAAGCTTAATCTAAACACAACAACAAGTCTGTTGAATGCTGCAAGAAAAGAGTATACTTGTAATTACCAATTAACAACTAGTTATATGAACAGTCTTTTAAAGAAACCACAGCTGTCTAAAGGATTTGCTTTAACAAGAAAGCAGTTTGTGAGAACTCATCTGCATAAGAGAAGATCATTTTTATGGCTCAGTTAAGCCAAATATGTTTCCTGAAATACTAAATGAAAAGATGAGTTTGAGTGTAAAGAAATGTAGCCTTTAATGTTTTCAAAAGCACTGCAGCAAACAAGAAAGGAAAGCCAGATGAATGCTGTGAAAGGGCCATTTGTGAGCAGTCATTGAAAAAGACAACCTCTCTGTCAAAGAGCAGCTCAGTATAAAAAAAGAGTAAAAATGAATTATTTCTCTGTGGATGATGGCTATGTGAAAACATGTTTGTGATAAAATACTTGCCATAACAACTACAAATTACGGATTAATAAACTCATTATTGTGCTTACAGTTTCTCTTGATGGCCCAGTGTTGGATTGGATATTAGAGAGAATAAAACTGGCCTTTTATGGACTGATTTTTGCAAGAGTATAAAAGTCCCAGAAAATCCCTTGTGCCTGACCATCTTCAGAGGACTTTTTGTTGTTGTTGTTGTTAAGCCACTTAACAGTGACCTGTGTGTCATTCAAGCATGAAAAGGCACATAACTCAAGGCATAAACCAGTTTTGTGTCTACACATAGCAGACAATTTAGCAAAGAACCAATTTTATATCATATCTTTAAGCACTTTGTTACTACCAGCCTGTCACAAACAACCACAATTTGTTTCTTTTGCTTTAACTGAATCTATGAAAAATGCAAAAGATAACAAAGCTTGACAGGGTGTTTTTGCACCAAGGTCATTCCTAAAGAGCTGTTAGCTGAAAACTTCTCATCATGATCTGCAGGAAACTGGACAAGCGGAAGGAAAAAAAAGACAAAAGTGGCCTAAAAGACAAAAGTAGCCTAAGTGCCCCCCCCCCCTCCCCCCAAAAAAGCTATCAGTAAGTCATGAAAGTCAAGTCCTTAAGAAAAAAGGATGGATGCAGTGATGCCTCTAACCCTTCTGTTGATCCAGCTAATGTTTGTCGAAGCATAATCAAAAATGGTCTCAGTCAAAGAGCATCTTTCAAGAAACCATTCTGAGGAAAGGGAAACAGGGAGAAATGGGCTGAGGTATGGATTGAAAATCAGTGGCAACAGCTCTTTTATGCTTGAATGATTTATAGGTCAGTGCTAAGTGGCTTAAAACACAAACCAAAAGGCAAGGACTGGAATGAAAATGAGAGAAAAAGCAGTCAATATCCAAAGAGAAACTGAAAGATCCTCAACAGCCTGAAAAAACTATGCACAGTAAGCTTCTTTCCATCACCCTTTTCTCTTTAGTGAGATAGGCAAGCGCCATGTCACAATCATTGAAGCATGCCTCGTAGCCTGCTTCTTTAAAACCAACACCCCACCTTTCTCTGGCCTTCATGCATTATTCCAAACACGTATTATCATTATCGGTCTAAATCCCCCACACCCCATTACCTTGCCACCGTGAAGTTCTTTAATATACTGAGATCTCAGTCTGGAAAGTTAGAAAGGATTCAAACCTATGCATTTTCTTCCTCAACTAAACTCTGTTTAGAGCCATGGCAACAACAAAAAAGATAAAAGGTGGTGTTTTTATGAATTCTGACTGTTTACTGAAAGGAAGAACATGAAAGAAGGCAAGTGAAACCAACTATGATGAAAGCAAATGTGCCACACAAATTAATTGCTGGGACTTTCTAACCACTCTTTATGAAACATTCTGATGTTGTACATCAATACAGGAAAAAAACAAATGAAAACTGAAAGAGGACATGCAAAGGGTTGGTGTTACAGAAGGTGTGGGGTAAGATGGAGGCAGATGATACATAAAGGGAGTGGATGAAAGAAGAATTAGTGATCAGCCACAGGCTTTTTCAGCCACAGATATACAGATATATGCTTTTAGGATGGCTCCTTCACAGAGGCCTGCCGTGGTTAGAATTTTTCTCACTGTCTATGTACGCCAGGCCATATTTTTCCCCACACCTGGTATAATCAGAAAGCTGCTTTCTCCTTTTTGCTGTCTGATGGAGTCTCTTATTATTATGTTTTTTCCCATCTGTTCACATGGTAGCTTCTCATACCTTACTCATACTCCGTACTGCAATTTCATAGTAATTCAGCACAGGCTTTAGAGTGTGTAGGTCATTTCCCTAGCTGAGATCATTCGGTATGCACACCAGTTTCAGTTGTACTGAATCTCCTGCCATGACCGGGTTAAAATAAACCATGCCTTTTTGCTATAACTGACCCATCACTAGTGTTTTTTTGCTCAGGGACTACAGATAGAAATTAGGTTTCGACTTCATTTGTG